ATACAATTCCTATATATTAAACGGAGTGAAGTTGGAGACTTTTCCTGTCATCTCCCACCCTTGAGAATTTCAAAAGAATCAATTTTCAATAGAAACCAACATGTATTCACATATCATACTAGTCAGACACTGAAATAAACAGCATAAAAAACAAACCCCGAGACTTCATATGAAGAACCATTAGCGACAACCTTAAAAATAACACAGTCAAACGACAAGACAAGAACCACAAGATCAAAGGGTGGTCAAAGAAACAATCTTTGTTACAGAAACTATTAATTTCAGGGTCTTTAGAGGGCTCACCAGTCACCAGAGAAGCTGACTTCCCCTACACGGAGTCTCAATATAGAAGCTCCCTACGATGATGACAGATGATAATAAGGAAAAATGAGCGAAAAGGGGGGGTTTTCTTGTTTTGCGAAGGAAAAGTAAATGACTAGATAGAGAGACAGAGAGGGGGAGTAGGCATACAGAAAACAGATGTCGCTTGCAAAAGCTACCATGGTGGAGACACTGGGTTGAGTGGGTTCCAAATTATATGCGCTTTCCGAAAATAAATAAATTAAACTACTGTGAAATAAAATGTCTATTTCTTTGGTGATTGCATTTCTATTATCCTCGTTTTTTTGTTGGCCCCGGTCACCAAGTTGTAAAATGTAAAAAGGGAAAAGGTGCAAATAGGTCCATGTACTAATCAAAAAAGTTCAAATAAGTCCTTATTTAGGAGGTTCTGTCCGGCCGTCGTCATTTGGGGTGGTTCCCGGTGGAATTTTTTGATGAAATTTTTTGAGCATCTTATTCATCAAGTCTAGTTTACTCATATCCAATTTCAGCTAAAACTTCAATCGGGAAGGCATTCAAATGAATTCTTGAAGATAACTGCGTTTCTAAGTGTGCAGTTATTTTCAAGAATTCATTTGAATGTCTTCCCGATTGAAGTTTTAGCTGAAATTTTGTATGAGTAAACTAAACTTAATGAATAAGATGCTCAAAAAATGTCATCAAAAAATTCCACCGGGAACCACCCCAAATGACGACGGCCTGACAGAGCCTCCTAAATAAGGGCTTATTTGACCTTTTTTGGTTAGTACATGGGCCTATTTGCACCTTTTCACATGTAAAAATATCGGAATTGAATTGATTTTAATTTGACTTCAATTTCAAATCAGATTAGGTCCGACTAAATCATAAAATTCCAATCTAATACCACATTCATCCCATTTTATGTGTTTCATCTAGTTTTGACACAATTTTTAATAGGATGTTTTCTTTTGGACTGTTTTCAGTCCCAGACCAGACTTAAACAGACCAGACCAGACTTAAACAGACCAGACCAGACCAGACCAGACTTAAACAGACCAGACCAGACCAGACCAGACTTCCGTAGTTATAAAATACACAGAGACCAGACGTTTACCAGACCAGACCAGACCAGTTCAGACCAGACCAGACCAGACCAGACTTAAACAGACCAGACCAGACCAGACTTAAACAGATCAGACCAGACCAGACCAGCAAATTTCAGTCCAAAAGAAAACATCCTAAAGCAGATGAAAAGATAAAAGTTGTGGTTGAAATTTGAGTATAATAAACTAAAATGTTGTAAATCACATATTTGTTTCCAAAAAGAAAAATGTGACATTTATTTTGAAACAACTCAAAAAGAAAGTAAGACACATAAAATGTGATCGAGGGGTAACAAATATCCTAAAACATGATGAATGTGCAAAATACATTGAGTTATCTTGTGGGAATAAAAGTGTGTGTGATTGTCAAAAATGGTTTTTCCTTTTTACAAAAATCATGATGTCACCAACAACTCAAATTTCAAAAATCATATCAAATTGTCATCATTAACCAATAATAATTCCATAAAATTATCAATATAAATGGCATTTCAATGGACATTTTTTTGGCATGATCATTGGTTGAAAATACTAATAAAAAACAGGGAAAACTATCAAATAAGCCCCCGTACTATATCAAAAAAGTCGATTAGGCCATCGTACTTTACAAACACTCAATTAAGTCCTCGAACTATTAAAAAACGTTCAATTAAGCTCTTTCGGTCGGTAAGTAACCGGTTTCCCGGTTAAATGTAACCTGTTTCCCGGCAGCCGCCGTTGCTGAGGTTCGAGCACATCGTCGCCGTCGTCGCCGTTTAATCGGGAAACCGGTTACTTACCGACCAAAAGGGCTTAATTGAACGTTTTTTAATAGTTCGAGGACTTAATTGAGTGTTTGTAAAGTACGAGGGCCTAATTGACTTTCTCGGTATAGTACGGGGCTTATTTGATAGTTTTCCCAATTTTGATTTTAGCACACGTGAATGACATTGAATACAAGTGATGAAAAAATGCCATTTAGCCTACGAAAAGAAATGGCATCTCAATTTCAACACATGTGACCAAATTTGGAAAAGGGTATGTTAGATGTTATAATAATGTTAGATAAAGTGGTGTTTATGGCTGGAACCACAACGTATGACCAAATATGAAGAAAAATATAATGAACTTTTGATCATGACTAAGTAAAATTATTGAGAAAATTTAAATATTGAAAAATTTGTTTAAATATGAGTAAAACATATCTAAAGTGTGCATACACTATCATTATTTTCTTTTTGAAATATGACTCATCCACCTCTATTTGAGAAAATTGTATACTTTTAATATAATCAAATATAAGTCAAATTTTGATAACAAAGTTGCTCTTATTTGTGGATTTGTCTATATATGTTTTACTCTTATTCATAAATTTATTCAACCATAGTATTTATGTGTATCTTAAATTGTAGGTGCTTTGAGTGGTGTATCCACTATAGGGGTAGCTGTCTTCTTCCTTCAACATCAACCCAATCTCTATGTATATCTAAAATTTTATAGAAAATTGATCAAAATAAGAGTTAAACATATGAAAATTTAAAAAATGAGAGTAAGGGTGTTATTCTTCCCCTAAATAGAGGGTTTATGAAATCCTATTAAAAGAATAAAAGGATAAAAAATCACTAAATTTTGTTATGTTTAACTTCTCTAGAAGTTATTTGCTCAAATTTTATCTACAATTGCATCTTTGCCCATACGTAATATAAAGTGATCTTCTTTTTATACAAACTTATACATACAGATATATATATATATATATCTTGAAATAAGTCTAATCGAATAGTATTAATAATGTGATTTGATATTTTAGAAATATGTGACTAAATTTGAGTGTAAGTTCGCTCTGAGTCTCCCACTAACAAAAATTCCTGGATACGTTTCTCAATGCTTTATAAAATAAAAACAATGAAATGACGTGTAACGTGATTCTTACTTTCCGCAACATATTTTAAACCATAATATTTATGTGAGTGTGATACATATTCACAGATCATTACATATCATTACACGTTTACCCCCCCCCCCCCCCCCCAACTAACAAAATTTCCTAGATACGTTTCTAGTGCTTTAGAAAATAAAAACAATGAAATGACGTATAACGTGATTCTTACTTTCCGCAACATAATATCAACCATAATATTTATGTGAGTGCAATACATATCCACAGATCATTACAAATCATTACACTTTTAAAAACCCCTGAAAAGGCTGGCAGACGACATGGATTAATTGCATGCACAATATTTAATTATGTGACAGAGTGGATTCAAGAAATCTTACAGATCATTACACGTTTAAAAAAACCCCTTAAAAGGCTAGCAGACGACATGGATTAATTGCATGCACAATATTTAATTATGTGACAGAGTGGATTCCAGAAATTTTACGGTGGAGCAAAACAATAATCAAGCAGTGGTGGGTCCACTTCAATTCAAAATGTTCAATTAAATACTTCAAATTTGAAAACATTTAAAAAAATATATCTATAGAATTTGTATACTATTTTATTACTCTCTTCGTCTCGCTAAGATTGTCCCATTTTATCTTTTCGGGAACGGAGGTAGTATAATTTATTTATGTGACAAGTTTTACTTGAGGAAGTGGTATAGTCCAGCTGGTGTCCGACTCACTCTCATACGGGAGGTCTCAAATTCGAAACTTTATGTAGAGAGTTCCAGCCATGTTTACCTCACCCTACCTGCCAATTCCCCTACCCCTACCCCGACCCCTGGGGTAAAATGTGACACCGCACCCGAACGTCCTTGAAAATTTGATTTTAAAATTCAAAGTTTATGTATTGGATTTCTGATTCCCAAACGATTGTAAAACGATTAATGTTTTACGTAATTAATGGTCGATTATTGTACTGTTCGAGCTCGTAAATAAGTATCGGGCCTGATTAATAAATAAAAGAGCCTAAAATTATCTAAATAGTGATACATAACGTTTCAAGACAAGTTGAGGAAGGGCGGGCGGCCCAGATATTATTTTGGGCTCAACCCGCTAAAATAGCAAGTATTCGAGAATGGCGTCGTAGGCCCACTCGGGGGCGACCCACACGGCTTGTAGCCCAATAATATGAATGACAAATGTCAAAATAAGTGATAGGATGATTTGAGATGAATACAAATGCCTATGATCCCATCTTTGACATTATTGAGCTAAATAATGGGAGTAGGATTTTCCTTCTATAATGTCCATCAAGTAAATTATTGAGATGAGCCTACACATATTGGAGATCAATAATGTGATGTAGGAAGTTGACTTGTTCTAAATAAATTAGGATGAGTACAAAAAGACATCTTTGACAAAAGATAAAACAATAGAACCCATCTTCCCATTTTTGGAAGTATTGATAGATATTTTGGACCCCAAAATAATTGGGATCAATGGGGAACCACTCCACATGATATTAGTACCTGCAAGACAAATAAAAATGGGTGAGAAGACTTACCTTGGCCGACCACCATGGAGAGGAGCTGTACAAGACTTGATAGGAATCAAATGTTGGGCCACCATCTCCATTTTTCGCACAAAATGGTGTGCTGTTTGTCTCCACTCATTATGGGAGTTATACTCGACCAAACAACGTGTATAAGGTGTCCTTGGATAGCCTTTGAAGTCTATTTTCATAATTGAGTGGTCTCTGTTCGAGAGGAGAGAGTAATAATCCAGAAATCGATCTGGAGCGAGCAGTGGTCTGTAAACTCGAGCTCTGAGAGTGCTGAAGCTGTTTGGTGGATATCTCGAGTTATACCAATCCAATTAAGGCGTGTGAGATACCAAAAGAAAGCTCTCAAGACGAGGAATCCGTGAAGGTCTGGTTTGCATCAATCGGAGTAGTGGAAGGCTTCCAAATCGTCCGAGAAAAACACAACCTCGCAGAAACGGATCTACTCTTCTAAAGTGAGTTGTTAACCCCAAAACCTTTCCTTTCATTTTCCAAATGATATGAACGATTGGTGGAACTATTGTACACTAATACAAGTGTATAATATGTCCTTGTAAAGTTATTTTATTGATGTAAAGGTTAGATACTAACCTAGAGTAAATCTTGGAAAACTAGGAAACGTGTTCACCGGAAAACACCCATTCTAGGGGCTGTTTTCGTACCAACGTTTAGGGGTTGAGCTAGCGCTTTGAAGAGGCTGTTTAACACCCATATTTGAGCAAGGAATCAGTTCCAAATCCACCTTGACCAAAGTCTTGACCATTGGACCAAGAAGGGATAGTTTAAAGCTCAATTGAGGTGAGGATGACCGACTATATTGCTTATAATCCTTGGGTTAATTTCATAAGATTACCTAAGATAATTAAATGTGATTTTCATGGATTATTAATGATTAATAATGCCTAATGAAAATATTGTTGTTTATTAATAGAAGATGCATAATATACAATTTTATGAGTAAATGGTGTATAGTTATGCATTGTAAGAATGATGATATGATGAATGTATAAATCATGAATTTTTGTGATGAAATATACTTTTACTTCATGTATAGAAATCATGAATGGATAAAAGTGATATTTTGATATTGAGATTAAATCATATATGGATTTGGAAATTCATGGGAATGAGCCCTATAACTATGAATTAAAGAGCTTGGTGGCTTGAAGACAAATGGATTAGTATCGATTTTACTAGTCGGAAATGTTAGTGTGAAAGGTGATAGAACAAATCCTAAGGGCTTGAATTGTGAGAGGGGTACACCTTAAGTAGTCTTATGAGATGTCTTAAGGTAGAAATGGGTAAACGCTAAGTTACCGTAGGAGTAGGCCTCAAAGGCTACTCAGAATAGAGGAACTCTAGGCATAGAACTTGCTTAGTGAACTAGTATCGTGACTAGAGGAAGCCTCTAGCACGATGAAGAATGACTGGAGGAAGCCTCCAGCATTCGTGTAGGACGACTAGAGGAAGCCTCTAGCGTAACGTAATGTGACTAGAGGAAGCCTCTAGCACGATGAAGAATGACTGGAGGAAGCCTCCAGCATTCGTGTAGGACGACTAGAGGAAGCCTCTAGCGTAACGTAATGTGACTGGAGGAAGCCTCCAGCACAACGTATGTAAGGTGATTAGAGGAAGCCTCTAACACCAAGTGGAGTGACTAGAGTCAGCCTCTAGCACGACAAAACATGACTAGAGGAAGCCTCTAGCATGGTAAACTAATATAGATGGGTGTGGCTTGAAGTCACGGGGAAAGGGTTAGTGTTTTCAAAGTAAACATGGGCCTTCGGGCGACTACTTGACTTTATATATAAAGTAAGTATACTTTCAAAGAGGGTAACCACGGGTTATGACCTATAATGTAATAACATCCTAGATTGAGGGTCTTGGAAATTGAAACTTTGATTATACTTAGTATAGTTGTCATTGTACTTGTCAAATGCTTCCAAGTACTGACCTCCCCTTCACGGGGGAGGCCACCTCACAGTTTCAGGTAGAACTTGAAGGTTGCTACCACTGCCCGTTGCTTCGGGAAGATCAAAGGAGGGAGACGTGGTTCGTGCTTCTTCCGTTCCTGTTTTGAAAACATTTTAAATGATGCTCATGGATATTATTTTTTTTTAAATATTTATTTGGGGGCTTGTATGCCCATGTTTGCCAAGGTGTGGCATGAACACTTGTATTGAATGTTTCCGCTGCTTTAAATGAATATTTTACATTATGTTTGTTTATGGATGTACTATGTGTGAACGATATTCCAGACGCCTTGTATAGTATGGATGTGTTGGACTGCGGTTGACTATTCGTACTGTACGGCGGGTTGTTGACGTGTCCGGTTAGGTCCGGGGCGTGACAATTTAATTGGTATCAAAGCCTTAGTCCGTAAACTTCATAATGAAGCTTCAAAATCCCTTTTGAAAATGATTTTGAAAACCATGAGCATAAAAGTTTTGCACTTATAGAACTTTTGGTACTTGAGTTGCAGTGTCTCTAATTGTTAAGATGGTACCCTTAACAATTGGTATGACGGTGATTTGAGCCAAAGGATGTCTTTAAGTGCCTATCCGTCACTTGACATTGATACGAGTCTAATGGCTCATTCTCAATTTCTTTCAGAAATGGAACGTACCGGGAAAGTTACTCGACGGAACCCGACTGGCCAGGCACCGGGAAGGTCCCAACGTGGCAGTCGGGGAGCATCGAGGATGTCCGGGGGACAAGGTCGTGCAGGCCACTCGCTGACCGTGAGTGACGGCCATGTTGAGACGATTGACGAGCATTATGAATCCGAGGAGGATTCAACTTACCGGCCGGGAACTGAGCCGGTTGAAACCCCATATGATGGAGGGGACGATGACGTTAGCGAAGAGAGCGATGATAATGACGCTCTCGAGAGGATTGAGGAATTGCTTCGGCAATACCAACAAGATCGCCAAAGGCGCCGGGCAAGGCGTGCCTCGGGAGGGGCTTCGAGAAGAGGGAGCCGTGTTAGCTCTTGGGAACATGAGGAGTCCCGAGGAGGAAGAGGTACCGAGGTTCCCATCATAAGAATCTCGAAATACCTCAAAGAGGCGAGAGAGTTGGGATGCAAACCATTCGATGGAATGGGAGACATCTCCGTGGCAGCCGAATGGATCAAAAGATTCAATGAAGCGGCCCTTGATATGCAGCTGCCACCCCATATGAAGATGAGAGTGGCAACAAGATTGCTAGAAGGAATGGCGTCCACATGGTGGGACGGTGTCAAGGGGAAGTATGGTGAGGCAGTCACTTGGGAGAACTTCAGGCAAGAATTCTTTAGCCAATACTACTCCGACTTCGAGGTGAACTTGAAGAGGAGGGAGTACACGAATTTGACCCAAGGAGGGGAATGCACGGTGAAGGAACTTGAGCACAAATTCAGAAAGCTTGCCGAGTTCATACCGGAGTACATTTGTGATGAAAATCGGATGGTGAACCATTTCTGGGACGCCTTGGACCTTGATATACGTGAGAGGGCAACACAATTGCCTAATATGACGTTTAGCCAAGTGGTCGAACAAGGCTTGAAGGGGGAGAAGGAATGGGAGGAAAGGAAGCGAAGAAATGTCGAGGAGGCAAGGAAAAGAAAATGGGAGAACCATGGCACCCAGGGTTCAAACAAGAAGGGGAATCACGGGGGAGGAGGATCCTTCAGGGCACCCGCACCACCATCAAGGGGGAATCCCAACATGGGTGGGCAAAACTCGGGGTCACAAGCCTCGAGGAAGCCTAAGTGCAGGAATTGCAAGAGAAATCACGAGGGCAACTGTCGTGATCCCCCACGGTGCTACAAATGCGGAGATACGGGGCACATAAAGCCCAATTGCCCTCAGCTTGGTGGGAACCGGTCATCAGGACCAAGCAATGCCACCACGGTGAGTAGAAACCGGGGTGGGGCACCAAATGCAAGCACGAACCACGGCGGGGCAAGTACAAGCAACGCACCCTCCGTGAACCAAGGAAGGACTCAAGCGAGAGAGTACGCAATGACCGAGGCCGATGCTCGGGCTAATCCCGACTCCGTCGCAGGTAATACACTTATTCTGGTCATTTCTAGGCTTACTTTGATCATATGCGTCGTTGGGATTGAGTGCGGGCCACCCCGGGGTCAAACCGGGCAAGTTAGGCCAAATCGGCTGGGAAACAGCCACTGCCGGCCAGGCACGGCCGCAGGCACGCCGTGCGTGGCACCGTGCCTGGAAGGCAGTGGCGCACCGAAGGAGGTTTGGCCAGGCACGGCCACAGGCACGCCGTGCGTGGCACCGTGCCTGGAAGGCAGTGTCGCCCCGAAGAAAATTTGGCCAGGCACGGCCACAGGCACGCCGTGCGTGGCACCGTGCCTGGAAGGCAGTATCGCCCGAAGAAAATTTGGCCAGGCACGGCCGCAGGCACGCCGTGCCTGGCACCGTGCCTGGGAGGCAGTGGTGAGCAGGAAGAATCCGAGGCACGCACGGCCGTGCGTGCCACCCAGGCACGCCGTGCGTAGGCCCCAGAACCCGAAAATCGAATTTTTTCCGCTCCGTTCTTCTACGTTTGGACCCCCGATTGATTCCAAACATTAGTATGAACCTAATAACCTCCTAATGATGTGTAAAAACATTAGAAAAGGTATCCCACATGGTGTATAAATGTAGGAACATTAAAGATCAATGGTAGGTATGCGAGGATCCTCATCGATATCGGGGCACAACGCTCATTTGTGAGTGAGGCGTTCGCCGAGGGCCTTGACGTGCCATTGACACCTATGATGCAAACGTTGCTAGTCTCCACACCGTTAGGAGACGATGTGGAGAGAAATCATTACTATCCATCATGTGAGGTGGAAGTGACGGGTCAACCCTTGACGTGTGATTTCGTACCGCTGAGTATGATGGAGTTCGATGCAATCCTAGGGATGGATTGGCTAGAAAAGCATCATGCTAGGGTAGATTGCTACACAAAGGTCTTGGGACTCGAAGGCAATGATGGGGATACCCTACGCTTCGAGGGGGACCGAGGCAACTCAAACAGCGGTATCATATCCGCTGTGAGAGCGAGAAGTATGATGAGAAAGGGATGCCACGCTTATCTAGCATACGTGGTTGACAAGACCAAGGAGGAAACGAACATCGACGACGTGAGGGTGGTTTGTAAGTACCCGAATGTCTTCCCAAAGGACCTGCCGGGGCTTCCACCTGATAGGGAGATTGAATTTGTGATCGAGGTCGAGCCCGGCACCAAACCAATCTCCATACCGCCATACCGTATGGCACCCGCTGAACTTAACGAGTTGAAAACCCAATTGCAAGAGCTTTTGGATAATGGCTTCATTAGACCAAGCCACTCCCCGTGGGGAGCACCGATTCTTTTTGTGAAAAAGAAAGATGGGACACTTCGAATGAGCATTGACTATCGTCAACTGAACAAGGTCACAATCAAGAATAGGTATCCTTTGCCTAGGATCGATGACTTGTTTGATCAACTACGAGGAGCAACTGTGTTTTCAAAGATTGACTTGAGGTCAGGGTACCATCAATCGAGGGTTAAGGAAGATGACATACCAAAGAGTGCTTTCCGCACAAGGTATGGGCATTTTGAGTTCCTTGTTATGTCGTTTGGGTTAACAAACGCCCCAGCAGCATTCATGGACTTGATGGACCGAGTATTCCATAAATACTTGGATCGATTCGTGATTGTGTTCATAGATGACATTTTGATTTACTCAAAGAGTAAGGAAGAGCATGAAGAGCACTTGATACTCGTTCTCGAGACGCTACGGGAGAAGCAACTTTATGCCAAATTTTCTAAATGTGAATTTTGGCTAAAGGAAATTGGCTTTCTCGGGCATGTGGTTTCGGGATCGGGAATTGCTGTTGATAATAAGAAGATAGGGGCCATTACCGAATGGGAGAGACCAAAGAACGTCAAGGAAATTCGTGGTTTCCTTGGGTTAGCAGGCTACTACAGGAAGTTCGTGTAGAAATTCTCCGTTTTGGCATCACCATTGACAAAGCTCACTCGTAAAGGAACTAAGTTTGTATGGGATGACAAATGTGAGAAAGGGTTCATTGAACTAAAGAAGAGATTGATCGAGGCACCGGTACTTGCATTACCCAAACAGGGTATGGGGTACGATGTCTATAGTGACGCGAACATCCAAGGGCTTGGATGGGTGTTGATGCAGGAGGGGAGGGTAAATGCCTATGCTTCATGAGAGTTGAAGAAGCATGAGGTGGATTACCCTACCCATGATCTAGAGCTGGGAGCAGTGGTGTTTGCACTGAAAATTTGGAGACATTGTCTCTACGGAGAGACATGTCACATATATACTGATCATAAGAGCTTGAAGTACGTGTTTACTCAGAAAGAGTTAAAACATGAGACAGAGAGGGTGGATGGAGTTGATAAAGGACTACCATCTAGTTATTGAGTACCATCCAGGTAAGGCAAACGTTGTAGCAGATGCCCTCAGTCGAAAGAGTTGTCTGGGGCATTGTCGACTAGTTTGAGGGCATTGAGGGGAACTACGCTGTGCAACCAATCAAGGTCACCGATAGAAAGGTGAAGAAACTGAGGAGCAAAGAGGTCCCAATGGTTAAAGTACTTTGGAAGAGCGATCAGGTCGAAGAAGAGACATGGGAAACAGAGGCTTTGACGAGAAAGCAGTATGCTTTCCTATTCGAGTAGAGCTGTGAATTTCGGGGACGAAATTCCTGTTAAGGGGGGGTGAACTTGTGACACCGCACCCGAACGTCCTTGAAAATTTGATTTTAAAATTCAAAGTTTATGTATTGGATTTCTGATTCCCAAACGATTGTAAAACGATTAATGTTTTACGTAATTAATGGTCGATTATTGTACTGTTCGAGCTCGTAAATAAGTATCGGGCCTGATTAATAAATAAAAGAGCCTAAAATTATCTAAATAGTGATACATAACGTTTCAAGACAAGTTGAGGAAGGGCGGGCGGCCCAGATATTATTTTGGGCTCAACCCGCTAAAATAGCAAGTATTCGAGAATGGCGTCGTAGGCCCACTCGGGGGCGACCCACACGGCTTGTAGCCCAATAATATGAATGACAAATGTCAAAATAAGTGATAGGATGATTTGAGATGAATACAAATGCCTATGATCCCATCTTTGACATTATTGAGCTAAATAATGGGAGTAAGATTTTCCTTCTATAATGTCCATCAAGTAAATTATTGAGATGAGCCTACACATATTGGAGATCAATAATGTGATGTAGGAAGTTGACTTGTTCTAAATAAATTAGGATGAGTACAAAAAGACATCTTTGACAAAAGATAAAACAATAGAACCCATCTTCCCATTTTTGGAAGTATTGATAGATATTTTGGACCCCAAAATAATTGGGATCAATGGGGAACCACTCCACATGATATTAGTACCTGCAAGACAAATAAAAATGGGTGAGAAGACTTACCTTGGCCGACCACCATGGAGAGGAGCTGTACAAGACTTGATAGGAATCAAATGTTGGGCCACCATCTCCATTTTTCGCACAAAATGGTGTGCTGTTTGTCTCCACTCATTATGGGAGTTATACTCGACCAAACAACGTGTATAAGGTGTCCTTGGATAGCCTTTGAAGTCTATTTTCATAATTGAGTGGTCTCTGTTCGAGAGGAGAGAGTAATAATCCAGAAATCGATCTGGAGCGAGCAGTGGTCTGTAAACTCGAGCTCTGAGAGTGCTGAAGCTGTTTGGTGGATATCTCGAGTTATACCAATCCAATTAAGGCGTGTGAGATACCAAAAGAAAGCTCTCAAGACGAGGAATCCGTGAAGGTCTGGTTTGCATCAATCGGAGTAGTGGAAGGCTTCCAAATCGTCCGAGAAAAACACAACCTCGCAGAAACGGATCTACTCTTCTAAAGTGAGTTGTTAACCCCAAAACCTTTCCTTTCATTTTCCAAATGATATGAACGATTGGTGGAACTATTGTACACTAATACAAGTGTATAATATGTCCTTGTAAAGTTATTTTATTGATGTAAAGGTTAGATACTAACCTAGAGTAAATCTTGGAAAACTAGGAAACGTGTTCACCGGAAAACACCCATTCTAGGGGCTGTTTTCGTACCAACGTTTAGGGGTTGAGCTAGCGCTTTGAAGAGGCTGTTTAACACCCATATTTGAGCAAGGAATCAGTTCCAAATCCACCTTGACCAAAGTCTTGACCATTGGACCAAGAAGGGATAGTTTAAAGCTCAATTGAGGTGAGGATGACCGACTATATTGCTTATAATCCTTGGGTTAATTTCATAAGATTACCTAAGATAATTAAATGTGATTTTCATGGATTATTAATGATTAATAATGCCTAATGAAAATATTGTTGTTTATTAATAGAAGATGCATAATATACAATTTTATGAGTAAATGGTGTATAGTTATGCATTGTAAGAATGATGATATGATGAATGTATAAATCATGAATTTTTGTGATGAAATATACTTTTACTTCATGTATAGAAATCATGAATGGATAAAAGTGATATTTTGATATTGAGATTAAATCATATATGGATTTGGAAATTCATGGGAATGAGCCCTATAACTATGAATTAAAGAGCTTGGTGGCTTGAAGACAAATGGATTAGTATCGATTTTACTAGTCGGAAATGTTAGTGTGAAAGGTGATAGAACAAATCCTAAGGGCTTGAATTGTGAGAGGGGTACACCTTAAGTAGTCTTATGAGATGTCTTAAGGTAGAAATGGGTAAACGCTAAGTTACCGTAGGAGTAGGCCTCAAAGGCTACTCAGAATAGAGGAACTCTAGGCATAGAACTTGCTTAGTGAACTAGTATCGTGACTAGAGGAAGCCTCTAGCACGATGAAGAATGACTGGAGGAAGCCTCCAGCATTCGTGTAGGACGACTAGAGGAAGCCTCTAGCGTAACGTAATGTGACTAGAGGAAGCCTCTAGCACGATGAAGAATGACTGGAGGAAGCCTCCAGCATTCGTGTAGGACGACTAGAGGAAGCCTCTAGCGTAACGTAATGTGACTGGAGGAAGCCTCCAGCACAACGTATGTAAGGTGATTAGAGGAAGCCTCTAACACCAAGTGGAGTGACTAGAGTCAGCCTCTAGCACGACAAAACATGACTAGAGGAAGCCTCTAGCATGGTAAACTAATATAGATGGGTGTGGCTTGAAGTCACGGGGAAAGGGTTAGTGTTTTCAAAGTAAACATGGGCCTTCGGGCGACTACTTGACTTTATATATAAAGTAAGTATACTTTCAAAGAGGGTAACCACGGGTTATGACCTATAATGTAATAACATCCTAGATTGAGGGTCTTGGAAATTGAAACTTTGATTATACTTAGTATAGTTGTCATTGTACTTGTCAAATGCTTCCAAGTACTGACCTCCCCTTCACGGGGGAGGCCACCTCACAGTTTCAGGTAGAACTTGAAGGTTGCTACCACTGCCCGTTGCTTCGGGAAGATCAAAGGAGGGAGACGTGGTTCGTGCTTCTTCCGTTCCTGTTTTGAAAACATTTTAAATGATGCTCATGGATATTATTTTTTTTTAAATATTTATTTGGGGGCTTGTATGCCCATGTTTGCCAAGGTGTGGCATGAACACTTGTATTGAATGTTTCCGCTGCTTTAAATGAATATTTTACATTATGTTTGTTTATGGATGTACTATGTGTGAACGATATTCCAGACGCCTTGTATAGTATGGATGTGTTGGACTGCGGTTGACTATTCGTACTGTACGGCGGGTTGTTGACGTGTCCGGTTAGGTCCGGGGCGTGACATAAAAAAATATGCTTTACTTTTAACTTATCTACTAGTTTTATTTTGACAAGCATACATATATTTATTGCATCAAAACGATCATCATCATCACATTACCGCAAAGGCTCCCCCCTTTGGTAGGGTAAGGGGGGGTCGGATGTACGCAGTCTTACCCCTGTACTAAAGTACAAAGAGACTGTCCGGATGACCCATAATGAAAATCACGTCAAGAATTGCATGGACTGACTGCTGCTTCATAACAAAGAAGCGCGGACAGTTTAGTGAACCATTGTGCTTTATTCCATCATATTCTCAAGCCAAAAAATAGTGAGTCTTTGGTTCCATTGCAAATAATGGAAAAATTGCATCAAAACGATATTGATATTAAATATATTTCACTTTTGAGTAATTTTGAGCATGAAAACTCTCCTACAAGGCTATAAGATCTACACTTGCAAACAAAACTAATGGAAGTTAGTATGATGTCATATTGAATAAAATGTATGCGCTCTTAATAAAAATACGAAGTATGTGTTGATATGTATTTATTAAAAAACATTACTTATTTTTTTATTTTAAAAAAATATATTTTTATTATTTCTATTAAAAAACTACTCATTTATGTTACGAAAAAACAAATATTTCATTTTTTTCTATTGTTTCTATTGTTTTTAGTAGCCAGATTGCCCCGAGAATCAGATGAAAATAACCTATGTAAATTAGAGTCTAATTGGTCTAGTTAAGTTACAACTATATGTTTATATACTTAGTTGTGATTCCACAACTGTTATGATGAGAATTAACTCGGTTTATCGAGAGAACATAACACAATCAATAATTAATGAACTAGAAACATACCATGAACAATCTTTTGTTCATATAACGTGCTTTATCAATAAGCAGGGATAACATTATGTAAAAGCCTTATAATTATGAATATTGGTTAGTAGCCTTATAATGTGTCAATCTCTTGTATGTATTAAAACTTGTACTGTTTCATTAAAGTAATGTACCGAAGTTTTCATTGGTCATAAATACCTTAATGCTTCCGTTAAAGAAGAATAGAACCGCTATGCAATGATTCAACAATTTTCATCTCCGATTAACACATAATTTTTTTTTATTTCAATAATATGGCATTATAGTTGGCTAATGAAAACAACTCATATCTTTTTTAATGTTTCAGCATCTAAGCTATCTAAGCAAAATTATGTGTTTATTGTTTACTTCATTTTAAGTTTTAACGTATTATTATTTTATGATAATAAAATATTGCTCGAGAACACAGAGTTCCATATAACTACCCTACTTCTTAAATAATTCAGATTTGAAAAACTAACTTTAAGTTTTAGATTTCAAATGTTATGATTTTTATAATTAGTTTTTTATATCCTTTCAAAAAACAAATTGTTTTTATATATTCACCTTATTTAGTTTTTACCAGAGAAAACTTTTACTGGTTTACTTTATTATTTGATCAACCTAATTATCCAAATAGCATTTTTACATATGTTAATATGCACTTGAATTTTACCTAAGCTTACATGATTTGTACAAAGTTTATGTCCAGTACTAGATTTATTTAAATTTAATAACACAATGAAACCTTTTATAATGAGGTTAAAACATGTTTATTGCTATCAACAACATTCAGTGGGGGTGGGGGGTATGAAACAAATTGTACATTCTATTGTTAATGAGGCTATTATGTAATTTCCATGTTCAAGCCTATCATTAAAAGAAATTATGAATGGTTTTATTTTTATATATACACTCTCACTGTTATCAATTAGGTACTTCATAGATATAAATTGTAATAGCATTAGCTATCGTGTATTAATCGAAATTCACGATTTTAATATTGGGCATTAGCTATCGCGTATTAATTGAAATTCACTATTTAGTGAAGTCCATAAAAATCCATTGAAAATTGGGGACGCCTACACGTTAATGAAATGAATAGAATTCTTAATTAAATACACCCAGAATTTAATGTAATCCTCGTAATTATTAATTGAGGACATTTGGAACTTATAGGATTGTTAGTCTTTGAAATTTAACATTGAGAATGCCTTATTAGAATTGTACAACTTATACATCAAGACCTTCAGAAAATTATTCCGTATGTCTTCTTATATGTCTTCTTAAGTCATAAGCTTATGAGTTATGATGGACGAATTTGCTATGCAACCAAACGGTTATTGTGACTTGTGAGGCTACACAAGCACATAAAATTGGGTAAAATTTTCTATAAATCCTATCTTTAATTCAATGTATATGGAATGGGTTGGTTTAGTATATAACAAGAAAACCTTAAAATTAAACCAACATATGGGATGTAACATCTGAAATTTCTGAATCAATAGTCTTGCAAAAATCTCTCAAGAACTTCTATTTTTAATGTATACTCTTATTTCAAATCTTTCTAAGAAGACATCAACCACGATCAGCCCAATGCTTTTCTGGTCATGAGTCATGAGAAGGACGAATTCGTTACCGACACCGCAACCGAGTGTAACCAACCTACTTCAGTTAGGTTCACGAGGCAACTTCTGAGCGGGTCTTTTACAATATTAAAGAGAAAACAAAACTCAAACAAGTATGGTCCTGTTTTGGAGGAATTGAAACTGCGCCAGTTTTGGACCTGTTCCCAATAATAGCCCGGTCTTGAATTGGAAAACTGGTTTGATCTGGGAAAACATGTAGGTCCAGAATCCAGATGTAGAACCCTACTCACATATGGAGAACAAGTCAAGAAAGATGAACTGAGAAATGAAATACTGTATATAGAATCATAGATGGGTAAGGTCTTGAAGAGTTGGTCAAACTAATGCAAGTTTTCCCCACAAGAGAGAAATGTTCTTGATTTTCCTTCATCCTTCATAAGTTCAATTTCATTCTGAGAAATGAACTCAGGTATACATGTTAACCCCTTCCACATTTCTAGCAATTAGAGTAATTCAATTAAGTTTAGAGTTTCATTCAGAGAAAAAAAACGGATGGGATTTTCAAAAGATGGTTTCTTTTTTATCTGTTGATACAAGATTACAAGGCTGAATCAGACAGAGATGCCCATTAAAGACCCAATAAAGTTAATGTTGGACAAATCTATCAGTCATGCTAATACATGTACAGAAACACGAGATTGAGACTATTCTACCCCCAAAGAGCTGAGCCAACAAAAATAGCAAAATCCTGCCTTTTTTCAACATGGAAATAGGAGGATTGTGGGATCCCTGTGGAGCTTCCCATCAGACACATCTAACTTTTTCATCTTCTCTTCACACCAGAATAATTGTTCCTTCGTGATTTTTTCCATCCTCAAAACCCTAGCCATGACTTTGACATCAATTAAGGCAAGCAACAAGTCAACATCAGCTGCCGTTGAAGGCCACGTTTGTTGTTTCCGTTTCTTACTTCTCTTACGAGAATCCTTCAGTTTCATGGCTTTCTGCATTTTAAATGGAAGTTCAGTGATCCAAATAATTGAATAAAGATCATTTTCTTATAAATATTCAATGCTCAGTGATCCAGGAAAAGATCCTTTTCTTATAAATCTACGACGTAAAAAGATATGAAGAAGAAAGAGCTTTTACTTTCTCTAGAGAGTTCTGTATCTGTTGAAGGGGCGCAGCCATCTCATTATGGCTTCTATATCGAACACCGCCTGTTTTTTTATTATCCAACTTCAGGAACTTTCGATATGTAATAATTGAACTTTCAATTATTTTAATTAGCTCAGGGGCTAGAACAAGAATCTCATCCTCTTCGGACTTTTTCAGATCACACCCTGAAATTGGTAAACCAACGTTAGCCGAGCACAATAGATGGTAAGTGGCCGAACCTAATCCATTGTAATTGATTTGTTGAATTATCTAAACTTCATTGTAAGTAAATTAAAGAGCATAAGAATGAAAAAGGAAAGTTCAAGTGTCAATTTATTTATTTAAAACATTTTCACCAAAAAATATAGATCACAATACTTTTTATAATTTAAGCCGATTCAGCCAACACAGTGAAATTTGATTACTCCCTCTGTCCCAAAAACAAGTTCACAATCTTCACACTATCCTTATTTGGCTTACCATTAGTTCAATTTGACATAAAGTAAGGGTATACTTGAAAAGTAAAGTAAAAAATATATCCTGCAGAAATATGGATGTTTTTACTTGGACTTAATTCAGTCCTAGACCATATCAGACTAGACTTTCACAGTTGTACACAGAGACCAGACATCTACCAGACCAGATAAATTTCCTTCCAAATGAAAGTATCATGTGTGTATGTCAAATCGTCTTGATTTTGAGAAGGAGGTAGTGTTTATTAGCTAATAAAAATGTGGCTGATAGGACGAAAAAAATCATACCACATGAGCACTTAGGACCTCTTTGGCATGGGTTATTTGATTGAGAAAGTTAATTATTTTGTTGATAAGCATAATAAGCCGATTTTGGCTGCCAAAAGGATGGTAGCCTGTTCCGCTTATGGAATAAGTCGATTTTGACATACTGTTTGGTTGAAAAGGTTGTCACTAAACACTTCTCTGTTCAAAATCTAAGCGAATTCAAGAGTTCAGCGAAATAACTTTTGCCAAACGGATATTTAATGCAAGAATTTTGTTAAAAGATTTAAATACCTTCAACTTTAGGCACCTGAAGTAGCTTACTAAATGACCTCCTGCTACGTGCATAAATCTCTGGCCTCAAACCATGCTCGAACGGTTCATTTTCAATAAACCTCTGCAACAAAACAAGGAATTGTTGAAACTGCTGGGCGCTATGGTTGTAAGATGTGGAACTTTCAGGTTGGTGGGCTATTTTCTGGCTCAACTGTGTGTACTGGCAATGAAGTATCTCCCAAGTCAAACATAACTGAGCCACATAAGCTGTTTCAAGATCCTGGTAAGGGTCAAACCCCGGCTTGTGA